CAACTATAACTACACAAACTACAACTTCTTGATCTATTTTATTTATTTTTATTATTTATTTATTTTTAAAAAATTTTATTTACAATGTTTCCCGTGTGGAAAAACGTCCAGAATGGTCAATTTTATGACAATTTTTTTTCACGTATTATTTGGAATGCGATATTCATTATCTTGATCTAAAACAATATAAATGTATGTAAAATATATTTCCCACGCAGCACATTATAGTTCCTAAATTTTTTCTCATTTTTCAATTAAAAAATTTGAAATACCCGTCTGAAAAAATTTGAACAAGAAAATGTACAAGTTCTTGTACGTGTTCATGTAAAAGTACTTGTACATGAAACATGCACAAAAAATATGTACAAGAACATGTACATTTTCATGTACAAGTTTTTTCAGCCGGTTATTTCAATGCAAGGTTCATGAAATGTTTTAAGAGAACAGGAAAATATCCACCTATTAAGAAATAGTAATTTTAATCAAATTTAATGTTTAATACTTCTGCAATATTACATATGAAAATTCTGCAATACTCAAAAAATACATCAAACAAAATTTTTTTGTGAAATATAAGTTAATAATTTGTTTTTTGTTTTAAATTAAACGAAAAAACCATTTGACTGAGACACACTGAAAAAAAAATTTATTTGATTCAAATACTTCAAATTATTTGAAAAATATTTAATTGATTCAAATACTTTTTATTTGGATAAAAAAATATGTATTTGATTCAAATAAGTTGAATTATTTGAATCGCATTTATTTGAACCAAATAAATCGTATTTAGTTGAATTAAATGATTAATTGAATTGAATAAATGAATTTATTTAATACAAATAATGAGTTACTTGAAACTATTCATTCATTTATTTCATTCAAATATTTCGTTTATTTGATACAAATAAAAGTATTTGATACAATAAATTTATTAATTCGAATTAATTTAATTATTTAATATAAATAATGCGCTATTTAATGTTATACACTATTTTATTAAAGGAAAATAAAATATTTTGATCAATTAAATATTTAAGTGTAATGAGTATAATGGGTTATTTAATACTATTCATTTATTTATATATATTATTTAATATTCTAAGTCCAAAAGTGAAATATTTTTTCATCAACAAAAAATTAATGTTTACAATGATTCAGAACAAGGAAAAACGCGTTTTTAATAAAAATATATTTACACTTTTTTTGAAAATTCACCTGGGATGATTCATGATAATAATCATAAAGCATATAATTAATTATTTTATAAATTGCATCTAATTGGAAATTATATTATATATTATATGAAATCAAGAAGTTAACATTCGTTTTCACGTTGCGTGCGTAGCGTAGTTGGTAAAGCGTTAGACTCATAATCCGTATGTCGTAGGTTCGATTCCCCCCATGCGTTAGATTTATTTATTTCTCAGGTTTTCGTTTAATCATTAATTCTATGTGTGAATTAGTTGAAAAATGAAAATATATGATCATAGTATGCAGAAATTACATATTTTTAATTTATTTATTTGAGTAAGAATTTAATTTAGAAATGGAAGAATTAGTAAATAAATATGTTATTTATTCAATTCAAATTTTGATTTATTTGAATCAAAACATTCTTACATTTTATGCAAATAAATGATGTATTTGGATTAAATAAAATAATAATTGTCGCAATTAAAGAGGTTTTAGTTTTAATTAAAACAATTACTTATGACAAATAGTCGTTCAAGAAAATTTTTAGTTGTTTTAAGAAAAATATTTTATTGATGCAAATAAATATTTATTTGAATCAAAAAACATGTAGTATTGAATGAAATAATTTTCATAATTAATTTTCATAAGTGATTCAAATAATTATTTATTAGCTTTGAATATTCCATTTATTTGATTTGAATACTTTGTATTTGATTCAAATAACTATTTATTAGATATGATAAAATAAAATACTTAGATTTAGTAAATGTGTGTCTGGTTTAAATACATATTTATTGAATAATAGACAAGTAAATGATGTATTTGGATTAAATACTTTTTATTTGATCAAAATAAATTTTTTTTTCAGTGCAGATGAAAAAATATAAGAATATCTGTTGTTACGAACGAGAAAATTAATTTATTAATTTTTATAATTTTGAACAATTATTTAAAATTTTCTATTCGCCGGAGGAACCAAGTTGCCATTAAAAAGTCAAAATGAACATTCAACTTAATAATGTTTATTTTTAATGTGGGTTCGATTAATTATATCGCCGATAGAAGACGAAACTGCCAATTTAATCTTTAGATCGTAAATAATGTTTCTTAGCTTTGAGATGAAAATCCACACTATTTTTGACAGCACAAATAAAAAGGTCTATTTGATTGAATAGAACAATTGGAATTTTAGTTTACAAAAATTTATTAAAAATCAAAGTAAAAATTGCAAAAATTACACATTATATGCTTTCTTTTGTAAAGAATAATGTTTTTGGAACGATACAGTTTTTTATTACTTACGGATAGATTTCTCTTACACACTACCGTCGAGAGAGCTTGTTGAGAAGGGAGAATTCTCGCGATCTCGTCACACAATCAACGGGCAAAACGAAAGAAAGGTGTTATGCGTATTTCCGCGTCTCGAAACGCGGTACCGGTACCCTATCAGACACAAGCGGCGCAGGTACAATCCGTACGGACTGGCCGGTTTTAAGAACAAAAAATTATTTAATAAATTATAAATAATTTATTAAATAATTTCTCACTGTACTGATCAACCGATTGGGACTCAGCCGGTTCAAGGTTCGATTTAATTTTACGTCCGCCCAAAGAAAATAGAATTTAAATTGGAGCCAGCTCGCAGACGGGCCTTATTCTTAAAATTAAAAATTGGCTCAACGAAAATCTATCGTGATTCAGCAATTTTAATTTTAGAATTTTAAGCACTGCTGTTAATTTACCTGGCTCAACGAAAATCTATCGTGATTCAGCAGGTATATTATTGAGCTTTCTCCACAGTTTAAACTCTAAGTTCACTTTTTAAAGAAATAATGCAAAAATCAGTAACACGTACTAAGTGATTGACTGAAGACGAATAGGCAATGAGGCCCTATGAGCTTCTGCTTATAAAGAGCATCGCGAGATGCACTTAGTGGGATTAGTGAATCAGGGGTAGAAGGATTCTGGGGGTTTCAGGGGTATCGATAAGAAAACTTAGATCATCGTCCATCGATATTCTCAGAACCCATGATTCTTGTTATTCTTTTCTTTGTTGACACTATTGGAACTGCACATCTCCATATGTGTAAGTGTATATGTGTGTTTTTAATAAAGTATAACTCGCAACCTTTGTTGAATTCCAGAGCGGTCATAGTTCTGCACAGATTATCGTTTTCATATTAAAAATGAAACTATTTTCCTTTTTATATATATGCATATACATTTTACGCATACACACGTACATTTACCTTAGTACACATGCATATATGCACGACATACATGTCTCAAAAATTTTCTTCTCTTTTTTTTTTTTTATATGCATTTTGTTTTTTTTTTTTTTTTTTTTTTACAAAATTGACCCTCTTAAAATAAAATCTTAATTGTTGCGAGTTTATATGTGCTTGGAAAATGTGACATGTTCCAATTTAAGCTATCAACAATTATTGTATCTTTATTTCCTTTTTTTTTTTTTAATTTGAAGGTATTATAAGGAAAAGAATAGGGGAAGGAAGGCAGTGTTTGCATCGCGCGATACTCCTCAAGCGCCTCACACATATACGTTACGCAGGCTATGGGGAGTCCGTGTCTGTGTGTACCGCATCCACGCTGCGAGACTCATTGCACCTGAACGCGTGAGAAAGAGAGAGAAAGATAGATAGAATTAACGTATGCGATTCTTCTCCCTTCTTATAAAATAATACATTTTCGTAAATATAATAATTGCAATATAATAATCACATTATTGTTGGTTACTATAATATGCGTAGAAATGTGCAACCAAACAATGTATACACATATCTATGCATATCACTTTGGCATACTATGAACACACGTACACACGATAAAAATAATGCACACGCATACGTGCATATACAATGCATATTCTTTGAAATAATATTTGATAATGATGATTCTAATAAGTAGAAAAATAGTATTGGTAATATATCCAATTGTTTATAATAATAATTATGATTAATTATTAATATTAATTTTAGTAAATGTAATTAACAATGATAATAATACGATTTATCATTATTAATAAAAAAAATCATGAATTAACAATAATTTGCATATTGTTAATTAATTAATTACTGCAAATTATTAATAAAAATGAGTAAAGTATAATTGTTTTATTTATAATAATATTTTAGTATCTTTATATAAGGTAAATACACTATATTATATTTTTCATGCATATATTTATAATATTCAAGCTTGAATATTGGTATTAGATAATTAATATAGTTTATAATATAGCATAATATAATATAGTATAAATCATAATATAGAATAATATAACATAAGATAGAATAAAATAATATATTATAATATAACAGTTTAACAAAGTTATATTATAATATCATAGTCATAGATACATTTTTAGAAGCAACGAGAATATAATACTGTGTGTGTGGAGTATCACTCAACGCGCGCGATTATCGGGGATTCAAATTACATGCCTATATACATTGTGGCATCGACTTGGAGATTTTATTCTTAAATAATTTTCAATTATTCTTGAAATTATTTATTATCATTTTATTTATCTTTTATTTATAATTTCGTTACGATAGTTCGTAACAATCCACCGCGGATTTTTCCGTTTTCGTCCCCGAAAACTCATGGTCTCGACCACAGCATTCCTTATACTTTGTATATCGACATATAATCTAAATATTGTGTCTACTTGGTGACTCTTCTAAGCACTGCTACAGTATAGGACCCAGTATCAATGTCTTTGTGCTGATACAAATCAGTTCATTTCGTGAAGTGATCAAGTTCAGTTGTGTGTAGTGAAGCAAAATTTAAAAATATCTCCTCCCCTTTCTTTCTCATTTTTAGCATTTTGTTATTTTAAAACCCCTTTTTAAAAACAAAAAAAAAACTATTATTGTAAAAACTATTCTTATTTAAGAATTTGAAAAAGTGTAGTGGAGGACAATGGACAATAACATTGATAACAGCACGGTGACTTTAGACATATATGGTAAGTACAATGTTTTAACGGGTGTTTTACAACAATTTGTAATTTTTTTTTTTTTTTTTTTTTTTTTTTTTTTCTTTTTTTTTTTTTTAACCTAATTTATTTATTTTAATAATTATTTAATAATTTTAATTAATATTTTGTTTATAATAAAATTTTATTTATTTATTATTATTATTTTTTTTATAGATTTCAAATAAAATTAATAATTTTTGTTATTAATTTATAATAATAATTATTATTGATCATTAAATATTAATTAAACAATTTAAAAATATTTCAAGATGAAAATCGTTCATAATTTTGAATTTGCTTTCTAAATGCTATCAAATGTATATTCCATGCTCTTGGAGGGGTATGTATATAGTCGATGCGGCGCCGCATCTTACACTTGATGACAGCATATATAGATATACATGTATACACAGTTCCAGCGCGATGATCATAATATGAACCCAGACACCTTATATTACAAAAAAAAAAATATTTTAAAATTAAAACTAAAATATATTATTATTACTATTATTATATTTGTTTAATTTTCTTTTTTTTTTTTTTTTTTTTTTTTTATTAATTAAATTAATAACATACATTTCATTATAATTTTAAATATAATTAATATTTTTTTTTTTTTTTTTATTAACAATCGATTATAATTAATATATATATATATATATTTTTTTAAACTTTCTTTAAAATTTTAATTGTTTATAATTTATTAGCAATATAAAATTACTTAATCAAAATATTTTGTAAATGTAAAATTAAAATTGATTAGAATAATTAATTATTTTCAACTTTATTATTGATGTTTTATAAAAAAAAATTCTTTGTTCATAAAAATAAATTGACATTTAAAATTGCATTTTTTTTTTTTGTCTTGGTTCATATATTTAAAGCGCTATTAGGCATGGGTACCATCTATTTAGAGGGGTGCGTGTATAGACAGCTCGGCGCCACGGCTCATGCCTTGTACACAGCATATATATATATAGAGTATACATGCTTAGGGTTTGAACATAGTGACCACAATATAGGATTTAAATGCACAGTGTATATAATGAGTTTTATGAATGAATTTCTCCTATATTTTTATCTAATAAACAACATCTATTAGTTAACTAAATTAATTATTAATTAATTATTTATTTAATAGAAATTTCGTTAAAAATTTTAAGTTTACTAAGTTTTGTTTATTTAATAAATTTATTTAATGTTATAAATTTTTAGCAAAAAAAAAAAAATTTTTTTTTTTTTTTTATACATATAAAAAAAATTGTTTATTTAACAATTTTCAAAAATTTAATAATTAAATTTGGTACATATAATAAAATTTTGATAATTATTTAAATTTTAATAATACTTATATTATTATTATAAAAAAAATTTTTTTATTTATCTAACAATTTCTTTAATAATTATTATATTATTATTTATTTATTTATTTTTTTGTTTTAATTAGTTAATTTTATAAAAATTTACAAAGAATTATAAATTATTTAATAAGTGTTTATTTTAATAAAAATTATGGGAATTTTTGTTAACTTTTTTTTTAAAAAAAATTGTTTATTTAACAAATTTTTAATATTTAATACAAACCTCCAATACTAATTTAAAATTTAGTAAGAATAATTAAAGTATTTAATAAATATTTGGTTCAATAATAATTTTATAAATTTTAGAAAAATTATTTATTTAACAAATTTTTAATAATTACAAAATTTATTTTTATTTATTTATTTCTTTGTTTTAATTAGTTAATTTTATAAAAATTTACCAAGAATTATAAATTATTTAATAAATGTTTATTTAAATAAAAATTATGGGAATTTTTGTTAACTTTTTTTTTTTAAAAAAAATTGTTTATTTAACAAATTTTTAATATTTAGTTATATAATAAAAATTTACCAAAATTTATCTGATTTTAACGTATTTTTGTTTAGTTATCGAATTTTTACGAAATTCAATAATAATTTTTATTACTTTGAAAAAAAAATTGTTAAAATTAAATTTAAAGTTGGTTCAATGTAGGATCTATGTCGGTCGGCCTATCTAATAACAAATGCTCAATCTGTCGCTTGACTACATCCCCTCTATGTAGGCTAAGTAATATAGGACCTCTATAGAAGATATATATATGCGCTATGTAGGCCATAGTATGTAGAATCTATATAGGACTTAAATGTATTATTGACGTAGGTCAAATGTTCTAGAATGTATATGGGGTTTTTATGTGATTTCTATATAGGCCTAACAATATAGAATCTATATAGAAATTTTGAGGAAATCCGATATAGATGAATATAATATAATCTATGTAAGACTTGAAATCATTTCGAATTAGAAAGAATAATAATTGCATTATTATTGCAAAATTTTAATTATTTTATGTCCCCCTTTTTTTTTTTTTATTTATTTAACAATTTTTATAATTATCAGGTAAAATTTTTTTTTATAATTTACCTAAAATTGCGCTTTATTAATAAATTTAATAAATTTTGTTATAATTTTTATTATTTAACAAAAATTGTTTATTGAACAATAAAAATAGAAATTTATCAATTTTTTTATTAAATTTGAGATAATTATTATAAATTACAATTATTTAATAAAACTTTTACTAAACTTTAGTAATAATTTTTATTTAAATTTTAATATAATTGCACTATTATCATCAAAAAATTTTTTTTTTTTTTTTTTTTATATATATAAATAAATTTGTATTTTATAATATTTAATTATTTATAAAATATTTTTTTTTTTTTTAATATTTGAGCAATAATTTTCATTTATTTATTTCTTGTTTATATATTTAACGGGTTGTAACATTTAAAGAAAATTCAATAATAATCCATGTACATACACTTAGATACACATACATGAATGAAGGTTTCAGTTGGTTGTAACTTAAGGGTTTATTAGATATTACAGCAAAGGCGAAAGGAGGATTTGTCTACACCAGATGTCCTGAGACTGGTGACAAATACCGCTTCACCATTGAAGAGGGTAAAAATGTGAATTATATGAAGAAAACATTAACATTGGGAATCAATATTTAACTTGTTTTTAATTATAGATGGGTGGCACTGGTACAGGGCTTATGATTACGAAAATGGGTCCGATGCCGATGATGAACTCGACGAAGTCGAAGCGGCGGTCAGATGCAGTGCTGCATTCCATAGTCGTGGTCTTGAGCACATCTTGCCCATGACGTGTAAGTGTAATTTATTTATGTATATTAAATGGAAATTTACATATTTACATACATTTACATATATATATATATATATATATATATATATATATATATATATATATTTTTTTTTTTTTTTTTTTTCAGTGGAGGAGGCTGTAGGTATTAGTTTGCCTGAAGTGTGTAGTCTCCCAAATATTGAAAACTTGACCATGATAGGTAGGTTATTGTTTCTGATTAATATGTATGTTATATAAGATTAGAATGTGTATCCTTGATATTATGTTTGTTTTTCAGTCGAAAATGAAGAACGTGGTGTGTCGGAATTAATTCCGACATCGCCTGACGTAAGTGACGTAGCGTCATTAGATATTGAAGGGGTTGCGGAAGGTAATTATTGTTTAGACATGAAATGTATACATAAATATGTTTCTATATGCGTGTACTAATAATACATTTGCTTCACAGATGAGATACAAGAGGCAGAAGGGATGCTGGATATAAATTCCACATTTCCCGGGTTTGATGACCTGCCGTCACAAAATTCAATGGAATTTTCAGATGGTAAGTTGTCATTAATATATATAATATATGCAAATACTTGCATTTTTATCTATTAAATTTTTTGTACAGGTCAGGGTCAACAAGCAGCAGGAATGTGCGAAGAGAATGTCACGTCTCCAGACATTAGTGACATAGAGTCACAAAATTCTAGTAAGTTATCTTTAATATATTTTACACTTATCCATATTTGCATATTAATTACAATTATTTTGTAGGTGAAGGTCAAGTAGCAGGTGCTTGTGCCCTTGATGTGGTCTCTTCAGAAGTTGGATTGACGGAGGATGAGGGTGAGCTAAGCATTTCTCATTGTTTATCTATTATTATTTATTTGATGTTTTTAACATTTTGTTTACTTATAGATTGGGTGCCATCGGGACGCCACTATGTGCAACCTGCACATGCCTATACCGAGACGGTATTGGGCATACGTTTAAAATTAAAAATAAAAGGGGAGGATGGGGCTACGGTGGAACACCGATGGATCTACCAGGGGGAGTCAGATGGACCTCCTCCGTGTTAGTAAAATTGTTAATGTTGTTTTTATACATATGCATGTTTATAGTTTATCAAATCTATATTTTTCTTCTTTTTTTTTTAGACTGGTGTGGTGGGCCTAGTAATCCCGAAGATGAACTCTTATGCGTAACGCTTAAGTTGCGCGTCACTGAGTACGGAGTTACTAGAACCGAATTTCGGGTGGTGTACGGAGTGGATGATTAAACCTTTTTTATAACCCCTTTTTTTTTTAGTATGTTACGTCATATATATGTATCTTTCCCCTTTTTTTTTTTTAAAAAAAAAATTTTTTTTTTTTTTTTTTTTTTTATTTTTAGGGGTTATATTTTTTTAAAATATAGTATAATTATCCCAAGCTAATCTAAAAAAAAATCTCCACGAGGAAACTAAATCCTCACAAAAAGTACATTTTGGCAGCGATTCACTTATAATATACATACATACACATATATACATATACATACATATATGAAAATGTTTAATTTAGCTTGTAGAAAAATTTTTATTTGAAAAATATATTCTTTTATACTTAAACTGATTTTTTTTTTTAATTATTATTATTTAATTTTTAAAAAGATTTAAATTTTCCATCTTCATCTCCATTTTAAATAAAACTTCACTTCTTTATACTGAGATTAAAATTTAACTTAGGGAACGACTGTAGCAGCAATTAGAGTGAGTATATAAAAAATCGTTCTTATATATATATAAAATTTTTTTTTTTTCTTTTACTTGTTTTAACCATAGTTATTTTTGTAGAATTTCATCGCATGTAGTCAACATCGTTGCACTGATCACAATTTTTTTTTTTTTTTTTTTTTTACCACTCACATCGTTAGAACTGAGAGGCCATTTTCTTTATTAAACTACACTTGACACATGGAGATTCTTTTACTGATGGAGAGAACTGGAGCTCGTATATTTTATTTTGAATGGGGAAAACTGGAATTTGTTGTAGAGTTCAGCATCGTATTTGGATAATTTTTGGGACTATTTGTAGAAAAACAAACAAAAACTCGCTGCATTGTTGATGAATGTTGACAAGATGAAAATTATATGCACTGGTTCGTATAGTTAATATTCACTTAATTCATTATTGTTTTGCTTTTTCTTATTATTTTATTTTTGTAGGATTTCTTTTTGAAAAATTGGCTTCGGTTTCCTGTTTGATGATGGTTTGTATAGTTTTATAATATTGTTTTTGATTTTAATTAAAAGTTTCGTGAGAGTAATTATAAATTTTCTTTTAGCTACTGAAGATAATTTTTCAATGGTATGACTCTTTTGTTGAACGGGAATGAAATCTGGGTCGTTTGCTGGATCTGATGCAGGACACATTTAATTTTGGAAGGAGCAGCAGGATTCAGCATCGACTATTATTCAGACAGAGACGTCAAAAGCAACTCTGTCCTGGAGCATCACATGAGGCGGAGGTGGCGGTGGAAAATTGTTGTTTCTTCTACGTCTGCTAGATATCTTTCGATAGCATAGGTAGATATTGCGAGACAGGATCAGCATCATTAGCAATAATATAACCTTGAATCCAATGGCGATGTAGTTTTTCACATCTAAAATGCCTCCTACTAGTGGGATTTCCATCCTTTCTTTGCCGTGGTGAAATATTCCAGATTGATTTTATTGAATGGGATCTAGACCTCCTATTTTTTTACAGAAGAAATAAATGTTAAAATTGAATTTTAAATGAAAACAGTGTTTGTATTTGAATTTCTTCAATACATACTGACATTAGGATTAGCACTATTCACACTCGTTTGGTCGTACATGCGTATCTGACATTCCGAGTTCCTTTTCGTAATAGGTAATAGTTCGAAAATGCCCTCCAACGACTAACGCTTTCCTGAAGTGAGTTTCGAACAAGCTTTCTATAGTAGATTGTCGCCAGTCATTTTCATTGTAACGTTCTATGAAATTATGGTCTATATATTCGAAATCATCTTTTAAATACCAAGGATAGGGTATGTTTATAATTTGATATTTTGACTCTTCTGCTTCTTTAAACAATGGTGGTAAATCAAAACATGAACACAAACAACTTGTAAATCTCCTATTTATAGGTATTTCATGAAAATCAGTTATTCCTATTTTGTTTAGTTTATTTTTCCTAGCTTTGTGGATAGGTGTCTTGAATGGGAGAGACAATGGGAAAGAGACGTGTAAGCATTGACCATCTGGTAGAAATTGTAAAGGCCTAAAACAGCAATTCATGTTGTTTATTAGATAATATATCCAGGAAGAAAAACCCATATCTAGACCTATTTGAAGAGTGAGTGTATTACTGCTTAGAATAACATACACTACATAATTATACAAAAGGCTTTTTGGATCTATGATTTTAATAGATCTTAGTATAGCATAGAGATTGGGATATAGACAAATAAAACCAGATTTTAATCGAAATATTGTCCTTTGTCCAGAAAATACTTTTACTGTCAATGATTCGAGAATTTCATTGTCGGATTCATCATAAATGATCATTGTTTGACCAGCAACTCTAACATCATGAATATTTTGAGCAGTTTTTAGACAATCTAGCAATATGGCATTATATGCCAAATTAGCTAGTGTTCTTGGGATTTTCCATGATTTTTCGAAATCCTTTAATAATCTTTTGATAATTAATGGTGTATTTTTTTCGACTAATTTCCGAAATAGGGACATCTTCTACATTGGGACGCAAGACTTCTAAAAATGCACTCATTTTGAGTTATATATATATATATATATATATATTTTTTTTTTTTTTAAATATACCTAATAATTAAACGGGATGTTGAAGATAATATTCTACAGTTAGGCTTGAAACTAATCCTAATGTTATAGCAGTTTTAGTTCCAATTATTGCAGAATTAAATTGAAAAGATGATTCCGTATTAGGGTCTATAACTAGAAAGAAAATTTCATCGCCGTTAACTTCTAATTCTACACTTCCAACTACTAAAAGAAATTCGTTTCCTATTTTCTCTATAGAATGACTAATATTTTCATATTCCACGTTTAGAAGATTTACAGAAATAAAATTGTGTTTTGTTTTTAGAGATAGTAATACGTCTATTCCGTCTGCAATTAAATCTGGGGACATCAGCGTTATATATTCTTCTCCATTTAACACTATTTCATCCTCAAAATTGGCAGGTGGCATTTTCAACGCTTAAGTACATATTGATTTTTTTATTTTTTAGTACTCCTTACACAGTTTGCTTCAATCTCTTCACAACCTGATAAAAGAGAAAGATTTTAATTAACAATATGCCATCATTAATTTATCTTTATGTTTTGAAAATCTTTCGTTATTTTCATCTTCTAGGATTACATTATTATTTTGAGTAAATCCTACTACGGTATAAGGACCTTCGGCTCTCTTATCGAATTTATTCGCTCGGATTTCTTTATACGCAAACACCTTGTCGCCAATTTTCGCTTTTAGAGGGCGGGCAGTCCTATCATGATATTCTTTAGACTTTAGTTTCGCTTGGACGAGATTTTTGGCAGCTATTCCCTGAATTTCGCTCATTCTAATTATAAGTTCTTTTAAATAGGAACCATAAGTCTCAAGCTCTGGTCCTTGGGGAAACGAACTTGGGATTCTAGCTAGTTTCCCAAAAACCAACTCGTAAGGAGTGAAATTAGTTGCCTCATGAACTGATGTATTATAATTAAACATCGCAAAAGGTAAAAGACGATCCCAATCGTCAAAATCCTCAGCATAATGTTTAATAAAATCTGTCAGCTCAATATGGCTTCTTTCTAGCGCTCCATTGGTTTGAGGTCTGTAGCCAGAAGTGGTAATTTGTTTAACTCCAAAAATTCTTTCCAATTTTCTCATGAGTGAACTTATAAAACTTCCTCCTCGATCAGTAAGAACACATCTGGGCGCTCCAAACTGAGAGAATAAATGAGTAGCTACTGCATGAGCAATTGTGGTTGTTTTTATATCGGAAATAGGGACTGCTATGCAATATTTACTGAAATTATCTTGCATAGTGAGAATATAACGATTCCCATTTGGGGTAGTAGGCAATTTTCCTACGGTATCTAGGGATACTTTGTCAAAAGGGCCTGCAGGAGTATCGGTTATTATCATTGGTTCACGAGTACGAGCTCTAACTAATTTATTTTGAAGGCAACTCTGACATCCTCGTATAAATTCTGTTATTTCATCTCGCATTCGAGGCCAAAGGTAGCGTTCCCTAATTCGTCTATATGTCTTTGTTATCCCCTTGTGACCTGCTAACAAACTTTCGTGATATTCCGAAATAATCTTTGGTCTCAATTCTGGGGGCGGGACTTCAATTTTTCCGTGGCACAATATCATAGTGATATCGCCACCGCGGAATATTTTTGTTAGTATTTCTGTCATCTTACCTTGGGGAAGGGAACCTAACAAATCACCTGTATTTGCCATACGACATGTAGATCGAGTATCTCGGCTCAAAACTAATTTAAGATTTTTCAAACCTACAATTACATTTCGCCAGTCAATTTCGTCATAATGTCTTTGTTTAACAATTATTGAATAGGTACAATATCGTCCACTAGGGGTAATAAGTATCTGACCTATTTTTGGTCGTTTTTCCTGCAGTTCTTGAAGATCGATTCTCTCGGTTGCCACTAAAAGTTTTGAAATAGCATCAACTGGTTCACAATCTTCTGACATGAAATGTGCATAATTGTCTCTTTCATATGTTAATGGTTCTGACCATTTTTGAATTACGTTATTGTTAGTCAACACGTCTTTCGTCATTTTAAAGTCATTGTCTTCAGAAGTATCAGAAAAAGATGGGGAATCACAATACGGAATACCTACACCTTTGGAAGATTTTTCTATGAGTGTACACTTTGTTCCCGACATATTATCATTAGTTTTTTCCTGTAGTCGGCGTGGCACAACACTAGATTTTTTTCCCATTTTTGAACCATTTGTTTTCATGTAGACAAATGGAGTAGATTGAGCATCAGGAATGACGGAAAATCCAGGTGTTTGAAATATTGATCCTTGCCATTGGGAATAATCCTTAGCGGGGGAATGCATGACATCTGGATCGTCCCTGAAACGTACTGTACTCTGTCTTCCTTCAATTTGTTTAGCAGGTAATGTAGGCGAAGGTCGCGGCGAATTTTCTATTTCAACATTTGAAACTTGGCGCTTGTTGTAATTGTCCAAAAATTTTCTTATCCTTTCTGTGAATGCATCATCTTCGACATCACTATTTTGGCATGGATCCAGGGCTTCTAGAGTATCAAGGAGTTCTTCGTCATTTTCACCTTCCGATACATGCGTTAATTCTGGACGAGTAAATTCTTTATCCATTCCTTCGTGGTCCCATGCTAATGTTAGGTTAGTTTGATCGAATCCTCTATTTTGCATTGACTTGTCAAATTGCTGAAATGATTTTTCTAACCCACTTTTTACTTTCCACACTTTGACGTCTGATTCTTCTTCTGTGCTTCCAATCGGTTGGGGAGCAATATTAATAATCACATTTTCAAGATCACAAATTTCTTCCTCTTTTTCTTCTTCGATTTCAAAATCGTCCATGATTTGTTCTTTATTGACACCTTCTTTTGCTAATTGATCGGCCATTTCATTACCAGTTAGGCCTTGATGGCTCGGTATATGTTCCCAGACAACGTTTAAGGGTTCTAAAGCCTTTGTTAATTTTTCAAAGGCAATGCGATTTTTAACAGGTTTATTTTCCTTAGTTTTCCATTGGTTTAGTTTCCATTTTGGGATCCAATCCGTAACACTTTGAATTAAGAATTTT